TTTTTTACGTTACCATTATGTGTATTTGCATAAGTGTAGCTTAGTGATTTCGACGCAGTACTTAATCATTTTGAAATGCGTATTTTGACAATTACTGGGTGAGAGAATTCAATTCTGACAATTGAATGGGTTTTTTCAATGTCTGGCAAATGTTTTGTCAAGTTCGCGTTACAGCGTGACATAAACATAACCGGCTTACAACCAGTTTTTTTAACTCTCTCATGAAAACAGGTTTCTTCAGGTTCTTATATTTCCCGTTCTATGCAAGCTCAATATTTTGCTCTTTTGGATCAGTTAATCTTTTTTCTATTTGAAGACAGGAATGTGCCATAAAAATGTTCTTTATTAAACCATACAATCGTATAAATAATTCAGTGTTTTGTACAAATAGTTTTATTGAAGTATTTTCAGACAATCCCTCTACAGTCTCCATTTCTTACAATGTTATTGATGATTAATACTGTATTTTAATGAACTTTATTCTTATGTTTGATTGGCAAGGCATATTTTTGACAGTRATATTGAATGCCTGGAGAGTATACTGACAGAATTGGTCGTTGCGTCAACAATGATAAGTACAGTTGTAAGGATCAGCTCAGTTATATCTCAGAGAGTAGTCTTCTACTAGACAGTGCTTCTTTCTTGTAGGATGTACATGTATTTTGTACTGGAAATCGTCATGCTCTATTATGATTATATCCACTTTTACAGATTTTACTTTTGCAAAGGCTTTATAAACATTGAATAAAGAGTCGGATGAAATCTTCATAGTCGATCTCTTGAGTTAATACTGCTCTATCAACACAGGAAACCTGCGCTCTAATTCACATTCCATATTTGCGTTTTCAATCTTATTATTCAGGAAATCTAATTATCTGCGTCATATCCGGACTTTTCGGATATCGAAAACACGCACAAAACTATTAGACATTATTAACTTGATTTTCTGGCTGCACAAGCCACTAAGGAGGAAAACATCTTCTTTCAACTTGAAAACATGACCGAAAATTAGCTTAATGAAGATTACAAATTAGCATTTATAATTGGATCATAGAAATATATTTAAGTTGAACAATGTATATTTTTTATCAGGTGCGTAGCGTCTTTACGCATATACGCACGTGCGTACTAGTGGCAAGGAAATTTTCACAATTATTATAAGTAATAGCATGGCTTCCTCGGGAGATTAGGGATTAAATGTCCCCGAAGCCGAGGGCAGACAAGTTAAAGTCCCGACGGCCGCAACTTTGTAATACCATGATTTTCGAGGAAAAAAATTGAAGTTGAACTTGAGCGAATTTGAATTCTTGTTTTTTGCATGCTCCAATGTTTTCAATCAGAAGTAATATAAACATTGCAACAAACAATTCATGCATTATTTGGAATNCTGAAGTTAACGAACCTTAACTTCAAGCCCGAAAAGTTGTTTTTATATTTGCAAATATAATGCCAAGAAGCTTATCAACTATTATCAAACATTGAAATTCGTCAAGTGCACATGCTCAGCGGTACGAAGTAGTGACTCGGAACCAGAGCTACTCGGTCAATTTGGCCCAAAAATCACCCCACATTTCAGTGTGTCTGAGACGATAACGAGAGCGTTTATTGCAGAGGTAAAAAATAAATAGCTACTAACTACTATATAATTACTAATCACTAGTACTATTTGTATGGGTACTTATGGGGAGGGACTGCATTCTAGTATATATTATCTTTTTATATATTATAACTAGCTTAGATAGGTGTCCCCAATTAGCCTTACTATTGTAAGCTAGATAAATCTGACACGTAAATAAAGTTTATTATTATTATTATTATTATTATTATTATTATAAATAGCTGTAGTGACATTCGGTTGTCCCTACTAGGAAGCAAAGCTTTCCTTTACCTTCCGTTCCTCATGAATAACGTGAGGGACGATTGGTCTAATCTTCCCTCATGTTATTATGCATGAGGGACGATTACTAGTAGGGGTGACCTACGTAGCACGCAGTTGATGTAATGTATTCATAACATGTATTGTATTCCATTGTTTCTCGTTCTATTGTATTATGTGTTTTGTATTATATCTTTATGAATATATTACATCAACTGAGTGCTACGTAGATTCTCCCATTACTAGTAATCGTCCCTCTTGCTATTCATGAGGGAGGGATGTTCGCTTGTAAACATCCTTCGGAAGACAAAAGAATCAGAGGCGATCATGGTATTACTGAAAATATCACATGCACTCGATGTCTCTCAAAATGCTGGAAATCGCATTTCCAAGAGTTATTATTTCAAAATTTCCTGGGGAAGTACTAGACTCCCTTGCAACTCTCGTCTTGGGCGGTCGTTCGACCCCCCACATCCAAAATATGTGTCGCGGTCCCTCACATCTGCTTACTAGCCAAAAAGTCCACGCTACGCGCCTGTTTATAGTGTGTGTGGGGGGGTTATAGTGGGGGGGGGGGGGGGGGGGGGGGCTTATAGGTTTTTCAGTCTTCATCAATTTAAGTGTTCAAAAATAATCGGCATGACTTGGCTTTATCTTTTTGAGTGCGATGCCTCGCTCACGACATGGTAGATCCGAAGCTTCTCATCATGGTTTCCCTMGCCTGCTCTTCTGTTTCTCTTACACCATATATCACCTCCTAGGATCAATAGATCGGTTCAAGGTTAATTCTACTATTTTACAAGCGGTGCTACTAGACTGGGGCTTGTATATGCATCCGATAACCTTTGACGCGATCGTTTCTTTTGTTTTACAAATCTCTTGTTGAAAGTTGATTTCTATATTTGGTTCAAAAAAAGGGTGAATTTTCCTATTTAAGAAAAACGTGCAGAGGTTGTTTGATGCTCGTGGAACTGACAGGGTATACTTAAAGCTCTTTTCTTGSTAGGTTCCTCGCTATTCAACCCACGTACAGAGTACCGTATGGTGCGCAAGTATCAGGGCAGACTGAAGGCATGTATCTTAGACTGGGCAGGTACAGTYGTTGACTGCGGYGTATACTCGCCAGCGGTAGCTTTCATTGACGTCTTCGCACAGGAAGGTGTACCAATCACAATGGAAGAAGCGAGAGAGCCAATGGGAACTCATAAGAAAGTTCATATTCGTAAAATCACTGAGTCAGAAGCTGTGCGGAAGCGATGGCACGAAAAGTTTGGCCGATATCCCAACGAAGAAGATGTGGAGAGAATGTACCAGAAATTTATACCACAGCAAATCAGCAGTCTCGAGTCCTCGCAAATGATTTCTGGCGCTGTTGAAACAGTTAGTTTTATCAAGAAAGAATTTAATTTGAAGGTACAAGTTATTTCCTGGTATATGGTAATATAGCTTCCTCCCCAGTTGTACATTTCCTTCCTTAAAATCACGTTTTCCTGTGTTAGGTCAGTAACAGAGTGAGAGTGGYAACGAGAGTGGTACTTTATCCACGGGGAACTCGAAGCTAAAAGCTGGATAAACGGAGAAGGCTAATAATGAYCGATATATTATATTATTTATTTCAGATCGGTTCAACTACTGGTTTTACATCAGCCATGGTAGATAAACTAAAGACCACTGCCTCAAAGCAAGGCTACACACCAGACTGCTATGTAGCGGCTGACGAGGTACCACAAGCCCGTCCCCACCCCTACATGGTCTGGCTAAATGCAATAAGGCTTGATGTGAATCCTATTCAAGCTATTGTGAAGGTCGATGATACAGCAGATGGTGTTAGGGAAGGAACATCTGCAGGATGCTGGAGTGTTGGTCTGGCCAAAACTGTAAGTAAAACATACTCTGTGCATAAAGCAGGTTTGTCATGTTAAAAGCCAACAAAAGGCATACTGCAAGCTAATACAAACAACTAACAAGGAAAAAGCGAATAGCGGTCGTCAAGGGATACCAATCTTGCTAATATTTTCAATGCAAAATAAAATGTGACAAAAAAATCTTAACTTGGCAGCTTAATTGGCCATTCCGAAATTCAAAGACGGACTGGTGCCTAGTCTAAAACACGATATATGTAATACGTACGACAAACCCAACTCAGTAGTAGACTGGGCTCTACTGGCTTATAGGGGTTATGGCTTGATGACGGCTTGTGATGACTTGAATACAGTTGTAATTAAAATGAAATGCTTTATGCCTTGATGATGGTAAATCTATAATTCTTACAGACTTTATAAGTATAATGCGTGCATTTTTAATTTATTACTTATGCGGCTTCGTACGTCAGTATGAAAAGACAATTAATTGATTCTTTCATCCTTAGGGAAACTACGTCGCTCTTAACGAAGAAGAAATCGCAGCACTGTCCAAGGAAGATTATGAACGTAAAATTTCGCGGTCCTACGAAATCCTTTCCAACGCTGGCGCGCATTACGTTATTGATACGATCAATGACCTCCCCCCTGTCATTGAAGATATCAATCGAAGGCTGGCGTCTGGTGAAAATCCTTAAGCCTCAGGACTGAATGAGTTCATTAACTTTTGTAGATTTGTGTATAGACTTTTTCTTTTTCTTTTTTTTTCTTTCATCCTGTCCATCTTTCTCCCTTTTGGCTTTGCTTTTTTTCCTTTTTCTTTATTTTTGAAAGTTACTATTAAATTTAATTATTAAACCATGTAAAGTAATCCTCTCAAGATTTATTTAAAATTGTAATAATAAATATTATGTGTCAATCAATGGTTGTGGATAAAAACGATCGATTATTGTTCATGTTTCTCATGTTTCTTCTTATTTRTCTCTGTTTTCTCTCATGTAGTTTTATAGAGTGAAACAAAGTTGACTATAAACCTCTGCAGCTTTTACGTCATGTACCATATACGCAATGCATTGTAGGATATGTTTGGGACAGAACATGGCGGATTTCTTTTGTTTTCTCTTGAAATTGATCCCACAATGCATTGAAAATCAAGTAGTGACGTAAAAGGTTCAGAGATTGACGGGGGCCAGTTCTAGGGTGTCGTCCTACATATTCATGATCGATTGGTAAATTACTAGAGCGTTGCAAAATGGATAAACCGCCACACACAAAACCGTAAACAGCCACAAAAATRAGAGCAATGCCGAAAACCGTCAGAAAACAGCAGAAATCGTGAAACTTTCAGTCTTTAATACATGTCAATAGGCCCTCTTCGCCTCTTTATAAACATTTATAAAGTATGATACAGTAAAGCTTGGATTAGAAGAACAGAAAATGTTTTAAAAGAACCTTGTTGTTTAGGATTGAGTTTTCATTTTAAACACCCCAGTTCACATAAGAACCATTTCAGCCTGTTATTTATTAGTAAGTCACTATATCACTAAGGTCAGGGGCCTTGAAATTTCAAAGGTGTGCTGGGAGGTTGTTCAGATCCTTCAGTAGCTTGATTGGAAATCATTTGAACATTATTTAATTGGTTAAGTTCCGAGTAGCTGCTTTTAATTTTTAATTTTAAAATTACAATCATAAATTTAGATCGTATCCATGGTAGAGACTGGCGTTTTTGACGTCAGTTTTTTATAAAAAATAGGGTTCTGGAAATTCAGAAAATAACGGAAAACGGCTGCGGGGAGTCTAATTCAACGTTCACTTTCAAGAGCAACCACAATCCCTTTCGGTATGCCGTACACCGTGTCCACGACAACGTTTTTTGATGTAAGTGTTTTTAAAATATTAAAATAGCCGAGGTCATGATTGTAAGCGCTCGGAGCGTTTTGTTTATCATTAAACGTAGTTAAATAGATTATATTAGATAGTAATAAATTTCCATTTCAATCTTGATCTGAACAACAACAATATCAGCCATTTGTCAATCATCAATCAATCAGCAAGGCACTCTCGTTCAGAAACTTGATTTGCACGAAAGGTCCAATGGTAAAAAACCTTTTTTGACTAATCATATAATCAAATTATTTTCTTAACCTTTTCATAGTGAATGACTATCCATAGAATTACACAGGTTTATCTTTCCGCCCCTTCGGATGACAATAAAGTAAATCATAAAAACGTAATTGTGTGTGTGTTTTTTTTTGTAAGGCCACATGGCGAGTTTTAAATAACAGCGTAATTTATTCATCGGCCGACTGCAATCACATTCAAGAATCGCGGCTCCAGTGGGTGAAGAGATTTAATCGTACTACCTCGGAAAGAATCATCCTTCAGTTCTCGTTCTTTTGAGTCAACAAGGCTGTCAATAAACTAATAMAAGCAGGAATACAAGCAGGTAAGATTATTGGTTGAAAAGAGAARAGCAAGGCATATAATTCCGGTGGGATTTGCCGGCAAATTGTCAGTTAAAACATTTCAAAATGTCCTTGTTACTATAATGCAGCTCGTTCGAGAATTTTAACCGGGTTAAAGACATAGTGTTCTCTGAATTAGTGATTATTGTACATGCGGAGACAAAGTGATATTCCATGTGGTCAGTCGAATCGAGCCATTTTATTTAGCCAATGAAGGGTCATCTTCGACAATACCATTCAGTCTTGCGTGGAATGAAATGACACTGACCAAAGTACAGGTACAAGGTGATTGGATATATGCTGGTCGGTACAGTGGAAACTACTTCGCTCGATCAAATGTTCTTTTGTGAATACCAACATATCAAGAACGTATAGTCGTTTATAAACGTTCTCGAAAAGAAAATCAATCTGTTTATTTGGTGAGTGCGTCTTTACGTTCCAAGGTAAAGGTAAATGACAACTTTATGMTTTACGTAAATGGTCGATTGACAAACATTCGAAAAATCCAAATGAATGGAGTTAAAAGTAGCTGTGTATAGCTTTCAACTGTGATTAGATTTTATTTGAATGAACAAAGCGTTACAAGTAAAACTCTAAAATCTGCATATTGCGACAGATTATCATCGACTAGACTTACGTAACATATTGTAACACCTTCTCCGCTAGATCGAAATTTCGTAGACTTTAAACATTCTGACCAAAAGAAAACTGAAAATGGAAAAATACTCAACTTATCACAAAAAAGTATTTGTGATTGTTCATAAACGCGTGACAACCAGTATGCACTTCTCAGCCTCACTCATCAACATTCGAAGCAGACTACAGTGCTTGATTTTCCCGATTGATGATATATCCAACGATTTTTGTGGGAAAGGCAGTGATCTGAGTGATGGCTATTCTATCCTGGTCGRTATCAGSAAGATTTCGGCTCTGCTCCCATCTGCTTTATATTACATTCATTTTCATACATTGTTTTTACCGTGTCTAGGCCGAGGCCCTGCGGCACAGTCTTAAAATGCAGCCAATTTTGTTTTTTTTTATTTTATTTTTTTCCACGTCGGCAGTTTAGCAAAATAAGGATCCCAGTCGATATTTGAAATAAAGGTGTTCTAGCCATGCCAATTTTTTATTGTAGATATTTGTTTTATTATTATTTTCAGCCGTWTTTTTTACACACAAGGTCATACTCGAATAGCGGCGTCGAACAGAGGGTATAGATGTACGAATATCGTTAGTAAATATTATATGCTACTGGCCTTTTATATGATAAAAAAAACTATTCGTTTACAAATGTGGTATCTGTGATCTCATCGGAATGCATCAGTCTAGGCATCATGCTTACAAAACTGAATCAATAACCCGTTCTAGCGTTAGACAGTCTTATGTGGGWAAATATTTCAAATTACAACAAGAAAAAACTTTGTTTATCAATGACAAAAAGGGGACTTAAATGATTTTATAGTTATCTTTTACTTTGTAAAGTATTTATTTTCTTGGCCTGAGAGGTCAACATTTTAAAAATATATCATGATATTACTTAGCGACATGTTGTCTACCAAGTATGATTTTAGCAGTCAAGCAAGAACTCTTTTAAAACGTTCATGGTGTTAATTACATGACCTTTTAGTTCAAGAAATTTTGCATATTTTGAACTAGACTCTCTTAGTAGACCGTGAGTTCGGCTATTTTGGAAAAAAATAAGAAATATATATTTTTACTGTCTTTCTATATTTTCAAACTAGACCCTGACAGCAGGGTGTACTCGTGCACTAAAGGTGTTGAAAAGCTTGGCTATATTCAGTACTTTTTCAAATTGAGCTCATTTAAAACTTTTCACTTGTTCGCTTATACGTGTTAAATAAATCACGTAGMGATTTGAAATCACATATATTAAAGAGCAAAATTTGTGAAAGTAACTCCTTGTTTATTACTTTTAATGCAATTTTTAGCAGCTTTTGAAGGAACACTGATGACAAATCTACACGGTAAAATCACGCAAGGAATGCAGACGTGACTCAAATCGTTCACTCTGATAGTCTTTCATGTGAAACAAAGTAATCTTCATCTAGCAATACTCCYGCGTGAATATKAACATTGTTTTCTTAACCCAGAAGAGACAGAATCCCTTATCAAATTGAAAATTTAGGCTATGCAACTCAGAATCAAAATTAGTATGTCCACGTTCGGAATTCACTCAGCTACGAAGTATCGGCCCGGGGGGGGATACTCCCTCGCAACTAGGGTGGGGGTGTGCCGCTGGGACATCAAAACCCTGATCCTGTTCCAGAGTGAAATCGCTAAAAACTATACCCTGTTCCAGAGTAAAATCCAGCACTAGCCTGCGTGTAGACCGAATTTTTACCCCGTGAATTTTTATCCAGCATCAATAATTCCGGAATTAAACCCTGACCCTGTTCCAGAGAAAATTCGTTGAAATCGATACCCTGTTCCAGAGTAAAATCGCTGAAAACGATACCCTGGTTGGCGGCACGTCCCCGTATAGCGAATATAGGGGAGTATCCCCCCCCACCCCCCCGGGAGTATCGGTTTTTAATCTCGCCAAGGAAAATGCACTATTTGGCACGATACACCAACGTTTATGACCTAAACCAATGTCATAATATATGCTCTTACACAGATGAATGTTTTGGAATAACAAAAGACCTTGAATATCAAAGAATTGCTATAAAAGCTACAGTAACTCCCGAGCAGTTTAACTGTTCTATGATACGATTGTTTACAGCAGAGTTCGTAATGTGATATTTCGTTTAGAGATCGGAGGGCGATCGGGAGACCCGAAGGCAAACTTCTGACTTGRAAAAAAAATAACAAAATTATACGCGCTGTATTTTATGACTCGTGACCTGGCCTAGGGCCTGGTCACGAGTAAACAGCTAGTCCGACTTCACGCTCCAAGAGCGTCTAGTTTTCTTTCTAAAATGAGAATTTGTCTTCAATCTTATAAATTCTCAGAGTATAATGCAAATGTAGTCCGAGTGCTAAATTTTCGCTGCAACGATAAAAATATTTAGAAGAAATGATGTGAAAACATTATACGCAGAATCTCTTAAATCAATCACTACACGGCGATCATAAAAATATGGTATTATTATTAAGTTGTGGTTTATTGAAAGGGCATAAAAAGAATTGCTTATGTTGTCAGAGTACATATGAAATAAAAGAAAGTTTGATCACTTAACTTTCCAAATAAATACGGATTGCGTTCACATGAAATTAAGTTGTGCATTTGTCATTTGTCTCGGAAATGCGATTTAAAGCGTTTTGTGGGCTGGGAGATTGTAATTAGAGGAGCGGGGAGTAGGGAATTGTAGGCATTTAAAAGCAACCTCCTCAAATTTCATTAATTTTAGAGTCAAAAAATGGAATGTCTCAACAAGTTTTGACCGGGATTGTAGAACGGTGACTGGAGTTTTTCGTGTAATGTCTTGATAGCGACTGCTTATGTTGAAACGACTCAAAACAAAATTCCATCGTGAAAAAAGTTCGACTAAATTCCCTTCTGAAAAACABGTGTGTATTTAAGGTGGAAAATGTTTCATATGAGCATTCAATTCTTAAAGGTTTAATTCTATAATCATTTTGTTTAGTTATGTAAACAAATTTAACACGACTTGTACTGTTTATCTGAGTGAAAGGAGAGCTGCGGGTTTTCCCTTTCCTTTATTTACACTTTCAWATATGACCGCTTAACAAAAATGCTCTGGTTCACTGGCTTACAACCTTGGCGAATTCATATGCAGGCCTGGTCGCAAATCAATCACTCATCACAATCACAAATCACAATCACTCATCAAATCATCAATCACAAATCACAATCACTCATCACCCAGGACCTTTTGGTAACTCTTTATTGAACAGATTTAACCGGAATTTATCATGCAATATTTATGAAACAAAGAAGCTATACGTACAAGATTAATATTAGTAGGAATATGCAGGAAATATTTAAACAAAAGATTAGTTGAATCGAGGGCATTATGTCGTGATAGCTGCTAGTCGCAAAAACTGGGTGTTGCGAAAAACAAATAGTCGTGCGAAAATGCAGTTACATTCAGTGTCCAAAAGCACTTATCACAGCATATAACCCGAGATTTCAACTGCTCTATTGTTTTTATTATTTAACAACAAAAGTTTTTTTATCCTGTTGAAAATCTTTCACTCGTTTGCGTATCCGTGCACCCATGCAATGGCCTGCCTTGTTTAATTTACGATGTTATCTTATATTAGTGAAGAGCAACTTCATGACTAGTGATGTCATAAATACTAAAWGTGACCAAATAAGGGAAGGACTTATCTCGCGCGCTGATACGTCACAATCACTTGTTTGATTCGTAGAAACGCAACTGGTCAAGCCGATGTTCACCTTTGGTTTTTCGGAAAAGAAAACATATTGTTACACATAATGGTTTATAGCAAGAAGGTCAGCACATTGATCAAAATCAATATTGTTAGATATTAGATTTGGCTATKTAATGTTTTGAATGACCATGTAAAGCGTGTCATCCGTCGCGCGCCGGACATTTTTCATGTAACTGAGCTTTTAAAATCATTACCAATAGAAAACCYAGGACGCGGGCCCGAGAAAATAATCCTGCATGTGATCAGAAAGTCCAAAAAAATTATATATTACTARAAAAAATCGTGAATACAATTGAAGACCCAAAAAAGTCCTTCACAAAACTTCGGGAAAGTAAATCTAATAAGACCAAATTATTTTAATCAATCAAAAGTGGTCTTATAAAAGAATTGTACAATAGAAAAAGTSAGTCAACCAGAGTGAGAAGTTTGCAATTGTTACAACTTATGAAATACGCAAAAATGTCTTTTTTAAATCAGTTAGAGCTATAATGTTATGTCCAGACCACTAATAACAATAACTTGTATGAGAACATGGTTCCCCCTCCCTCTTATTAAATAGTGTCAGCTACATAAAGTATTTATGGCAATCATTATGTTATTATTTACATTGTATCCATTATGCACTATGCCAGCTAGCCCGACTTCACTCTCGTAGATCGTCAGGTTTCTAATGGTCTGCACGATTTTCATTTACAAATGACATACCGAAAGTTCTAATTCACGATCGCGATTGCCGATTTTATCAACTATAGATGAAATACTGACAATAATTAGCAGCGTTACATGCAGGTCAATTATTAATACTTATATAACATAACCAGCACATACACTCATCGACAGTTAAATCTATTTCCCTCTTTGGTCATATTCGAGCAAAGAATATGTAGAAATTATACATTTTCAAGGCTAGTGTTACAATGACGGAGCGAAGAGAATATGCTGTCATTTCTAAAACAGCGGCTTTACGCTTTTAACAAGAAAAATGAGTATTCGGTTTTAACAATCAGGGACAGTTTATTTAACTTCTACCGGCTCTCCACTCTTAATGACTGCGTTAAACCACTTTAACATACGATACACATACAGTACGCCGGTTTTTGTTTTTTATTAATGAATGAGACGTCGTTAATCATTGATGATGATTATCTTATAAACATTCATTTGTATTTTTCAGTGACTTGAAATCATGGACACCAAGAACCGCAAAGGCGCTGTCATAAACGGCGTCCACAACACTGTCCCTGCCACCAGTGAAGGAAGAAGTCCTGGGGAAAGGCTAAAGAATGAGAATGTCAATATCTCAGGCATTCCAGGCTTAAGTATTAACATCCTGGGGACGTTCATGCTACTGTGGCCACCCCTGTTTGTTTGGTACTTTTGGCTAGCATGTAACTCCTACCAATGCTCACTGGGCTCCCTTGGGAGCGAATTTCTTTCTAATTTCCAAAATGGCTCAGGGATTGCTTTTATATTGAAGAACATCCCGCAAGTGAACCTGAAGAGCGTGTTGGTKTTCTTTACTTGGATGTTTATCCAACTTGTATTGTACMTAGTCCTTCCAGGTCGACAAGCCAAAGGGAAYCCAACTCCGGCAGGAAATGCTTTGCCGTATAATTGCAATGGCTTCAATGCTTGGCTATTCACTCACATTGCATTTCTAGTTGCTGTGAAGCTTGATTTGATTAAAATGACTATCGTTTATGATCACTGGGGCGCACTGCTCGTCTTGGCCAATATTTTTGGGTTTGGATTAACAGTGTTTAGTTATTTTAAAGCGATCTATTTCCCCAGTCACAAGGAAGACCGCTGTTTCAGTGGATCGTTTTTCTACGACATGTTCATGGGAGTAGAGCTCAATCCTCGTATCCGTGACTTTGACTTCAAATTGTTCTTCAATGGTCGACCTGGGATAGTTGCCTGGACACTGATCAACCTCTCCTTTGGTGCCAAACAGTACGAGAACCTTGGTTACGTCACAAACTCCATGGTGATACTCAACATCCTTCAGGCTGCCTACGTCATCGATTACTTCCTCAACGAGGTGTGGTACCTAAGGACAATTGACATTGCTCATGATCACTTCGGATTTTACCTTGCCTGGGGGGACATGGTCTGGCTTCCATTCATGTATACTTTACAAGCAGTATATCTCGTGTACAACCCAGTCAATCTTCCTGTTTGGGCGGCCGCTGGTGTCCTGGTCCTCGGTCTGGCTGGGTATTTTATCTTCCGTTCGGCCAACTCTCAGAAAGATTACTTCCGAGCGCAGATCAAGAAGACCGGCCAATGTGAAATCTGGGGKAAGCCTGCCATATATATCCCTGCCGAGTATAAAACTTCGGATGGTATCGTGAAGCAGTCGTGTCTACTAGCATCGGGTTGGTGGGGAATCTCGAGGCATTTCAATTACGTGGGGGATCTCATGAACTCTTTATCTTATTGTTTGGCATGTGGTGTAAGTCATTTGCTGCCACAGTTCTATTTCGCATATATGACCATWCTACTGGTTCACAGGGCTTTCCGTGATGATGTCAAGTGTAACCAGAAATATGGCGTATTCTGGAAGAAATATTGTCAAAAAGTTCCATATAAGATCATTCCATATGTTTTTTAAAAGATGTAAATGTGAAATAACTCAAGAATTTTTTTTAATGGTTAATGATTTGGTAGTTTGATAATTTCATGCTATATGTTAAACTGTTTTCGTTTTTAAAAACACCTCTTTCGACACACTACACCAAGACTTTGAATGAAACATGTTTCGTCTATTAGACCTTTTCAATCATTGTTACGTTACACAGTTGACTACGCTTACAAAATCTAACTGCACGCGCTTAACACATCGTGCGCGCGCGAACACTAATAACCTACAAAAAGACTACAAAAACAAAATAAAAATAAAATAAATAACAAAGTTACAAAAGTTCAATGTTTGCTCGTGGTATCTGTACAGTATTCCACTCATTTTTACTGTTCATTGATCTTAGTCCCTCTCGCTTTATCCGTACAGCCTCTGATACTTGTCTCAGCATGGGGTCCCTGTGGAACGTCTCTGTGATGTTCATTCCGAAGTCCTGCACTACTCCTTCATGTTTATCCTTACAGTGAGCTTTCATGATAGATCTTTCTCCACCGGTGTCCATATCTTTAAGGTGCTCTCTGCCTCTGGTGTATCCACTTCTCGCCGTTTCTCCCACAYACTTATCACCACAAGATTTACACTTGATTTCGTACGTAACATTGACGGCTCTACATGATCCATTTCCTCCTGTCCTACATACCAAGCAATCATCTCTACTGCATAAACGAGTTTTGAAGGGATCCGATCGTTGTAATACTCCCTTGATGTTTACATTGGCTTTCTCTACGATCTTGATCTTTAGTCCAGAGTTGTTCACATCCTTCTGTAGGAGTCTCCTAAGTTCTGAGTCTGGTGTTGACGGTACAAATATCACGCTAGAATACCCTCCTTCCTAATATACCAATTAACTTTCTTGCTTCTCTTGATGGTTTCTCGCTTACTCCTTTTCTAGTCCTTCGTTCTGTACATGGGTCTAACCCCGTTTTCATCTCGTGATGTTATCCTCTTGTAAGCCTCTAATGCTGACCTCACCACCTCATAGCGGAAACGATGGTCGTAGCCTGAATATTGCATGCGT